CTTAGAGAAGTAAGATGACTTACCCCCCCCCCAATAGCAACCCTGATATTATTATATAAACTAAGTGTAAATAAATTTTCTATACTTGATATAAGTAAAATCCTAAATAAAGTTTAGAGGTATATCAGGTAAATGTAATATAACTTATTTAACATATAAAATATAACAAAATTAATTTTATATATTAATTTACTAAACTAACAGTTATTTTATTTTTCAAAATATTTGCTACTTTTATAGTGTGTCTCACGAGGACTACAATTGATTTATCTCTCTTTTGCTTATTTTTTATTGAGTAATTAGCAGATGAGTCGATGATATTTGCATAAATAAAACCTAATAATAATAAGATAACAATTATAACAGCATTAAAGCAGATCTGTCTGACTATATATACATCAAAACCCTAATACATATAACATGAAGTAATCATACATTTTATTATAAAATACAAACAAAACATTTTTTGATATCATTTATTATGCACCACATTTGAGCGCACATATATGTCTAGCAATGAATTATAATTAGCAGTAATTGTCATTTATTTAAATTATTATATCCAATGATAATAATGCTATTTAATAACTAGTGGTTATTTATATRCACTACAATTCAGTGTATATGACACTAACAAACAAATGGATAGATAGTATTTAGTTAGTGTCGGTCAACAATATTAGAGAAAAACTAATAAATGGATAGAATTTGTGGGCAATAGAGCCAACACTTGGAGAACGGGACAGGAATTTCAATGGAAATCCTTTTAAAAATGTACGGCACTTGAGATGGCTGTTGCACTGGTAGTTGGACTACACTTTCMATTTCTTTCTAAAAACGATTGAATTTCTCTCATTTATATTAGATTTAACAGATTTAGTCTATACTTAGACACACATATATAGTATATACTGTAGTCAACAATTTTCAACACACATATGTGTCATTGTTATCGATAATAATAATAATATAAAACATGTGATTGAATTTTCAAGAAATTAAATTTTTTTGAGAAAAATAAGACAAAATTCAGATTTTCTATGATTCAAATAGTACTAAGAAATTCTAAATTTTAATTTTATTAAATAAATTTTAAATTGAGATTTGTGTTTTCAAATAAATATGACTAATATTTTTTTATATATATTGAAAAATTCAATTTATAACAAATATTTATACAGATACGGTTATAAAATTTCATTTTTATATTGAAAATATACAGATATTTGAAAATATATAAAACATATTTATTTATTTAAGTTCAATGTATTCAATGATTACTTATTCAATTTGTAAATATATTTTTTCTCATTAAATATAAATTTTACAATTGCATTGAAAATTTGTTGTTATATTTACTGTATATTATTCAGTACATATTATTTTCAAAGTAGTTTTAAAATTCAATGTGTTGTCAATGCAATGAGTGTTCAAACAAATAAATATAAATTGAAAACTTTATGGAGTAGTTGTCACTAATGTTGAAAAATCATAATAAATTCAAAGTCTGTCAGACCGTGAAATACGTTTACTAATGGATATACAAAATACACTTATTATCTGTTATTATTAGCCAAAGAAACAAAAGCACTGGAAATATGGTATAAACGGCTCTTCAAAAACGTGTTATTGTTGTGGACGTGATCTACACAATAGTTATTTGCCCACAAATATACAATTAAACTAAATTTATGTATACTTTTTATTTGCAACTCAAAACTAATAATATATCTTTATTTTGGGGGTAAAATCTGTTTCCTATCATTTAATATAGTATTTCGCAGATTGCACTCAAGTCTCAAATTTCAAAATTTTATTTTTATGCGACATTTCTCTCTCTTTCTTTCTTTCATTCTCTCTCTCTCTCTCTCTCTCTCTCTCTCTCTCTCTCTCTCTCTCTCTCTATTCTCTCAATTTCTATCAATTCTTATGGCTTTTGTGTTGAATAGGATTTTGTGTTTTGAAACTAAATTATAAGTATAAAAACTAATACATGATTAGCATTATTGAGTAGTTTTGGTGCGTGCGATGAAAACAAGCGCTGGTATTGAATAGTGAGTGAGTTGTCATAAAAGTGAGTCTCAATAGAAAAGGAGAGAGAGAGAGAGCTTTAAAATAGTAAATGCAATTAATTTTTTATATGTGAATTGAAGTTAAAAATTAAAAAATAAAAGAAAACGTATTTTTTGGACCCATTTTAAAGGATTATTTATTTAGAAAAAATAATAAAATAAATATATAATATATTAAAAGGTCTTTAATCTGTCGATTAGTTCAAAGATTTTTTTAACGCATTTTCTTTGCTTTTTTGTGAAAAAAGATTTGCTCGACGACGACAACAACGGCCGACTTATTTACAATACAATGCCTTAAATATTGGTTAAAGTATTGCAGATGTGATTATTTGATGGCCCGAAGCGTTTTAAAGGCAGTCAACAATAGATGTTATATTAAATAAGATTTAACTTAAGAGACAATTCCATCAATTTTCTACTTTTATGCCTTTATTTCCAACAATCAACTCATCCGATGCCTACAACTAATGCTGGGCTCACATAAAATGGATGTCCAAAGCAAAGGAGTATTTTTTGCTGATAGAGGATAAACATTATATTTTCTATCGGTTTATAACGTTTTTAAGTTAAAACTTTGAAATATAAAAAGTGAAAAATATGGATAAGATTTGAAAAAACGATAAAATAGACGATAAATAAAATAACAAATTTATGATTAAAATATATATATATTAAAGTATATTAAATAAAAAAAGTTAACAACAGTTATATTAGTTTTACAAAAATTGTAACAAATAAACACTTAATAATTCAATAATAAAAAGATTTTACTTTAAATATATTTTACAAAACAAATAAAATTCATATGCGATGCTGTACTGTATAAGTCATAAACTTATAAAACGTGATTATATGTGCCTATAGTTTGCAGAATATATAATATTATAGTATTTTTTGGCGTAAAAATAAAGACTTTTTGCTTATATTCTAACAGTGCTTCTCATATCTACCTTAAAAACTGAATAACTGACAGATAGTTTTGCATGAATGCGGCCAACAGTCAGTTATCTGTTATATTTGTGGCACTGTTTTTATGTGAGGGATCCGCACCCATWAAATCTCATAAAATATAGCAATTCTAGAGATCCCTATACGTGAATGTAGTTTAATGTGAACGAATACATATGTCTGTTAAGACACATAAATATTAGACACAAATCTCTATATTTTTAGTACAACACACACATAGAGAGAGAGAAAGAGAGAGAGAGAGARAGARAGARAGAGAGAGAGAGAAAGTTATGAAAAAAAGTTTATGAAACATATATATTATAAATTATGTAACTTTAATGTAACTAAAATTTTGACTTATATATTGTATTTTATATACACAATATTCTACAATAATGTATATATATGCTGAACTGTACATAATATTTTTAAAACCATTATATTATTGAAAAAATACTGTTATATTATAGTTTGTAGATATAATATTATATAATATTCACTATATCTAACTCATACACAATATCTATATAAACTAAGTACCGTACTGTGACTTATGTGTAAAAATAGGTCTAATGTTTTTTATATGCTTTGCGACAAATTTAATTCAGGTATTTGTGGTCATGAGAGTCAAGATTACACACATATTATATAACAGTCTTTTTATGTTTTAATGCTGTTGTGGGCAATAAAAAACATGAAATTTGCAAACTTCCGGCACCACAACAATATGCACTTCCGGTGAAAAACTGCATGAAATAAGTCAATCATAAGGAATATGTCTAAAGAGTCTATAGTTTTGTTCTTAATATTAAAGAATATTTATTATATACTAAATTATTGTCATATCTTTTGTTTGTCTCATAATATTATATMATATTATTATATGTCTTTAATGTAGTGCCACACAAAATAAGCATAATATGCATATACTGTAGTAAACTATATAAAAAACAAAAACCATTAGCAAAGTGACTGAAGTTTTATTCAATACTCTCATTGCGTTTTTAAAGCTCATTGAATAATGGTTTACCACAAAAACTATTGAAAGTACTTTAAAAATTTGAATAATAAATAGCGGCATCTCTTCAGTGTTATAGTCAATGGATCACATGTGGCAGTGCTTATGATGATAGGGATGGCTATCATTTGGAGATAACTATAATGAATGATCCAAATCATGCAAATTGTCTGCTTTTTAGAGCCCATCACATCTCATCTTATTTGCCATATTATTATATAAACAACATTTTTAATGACAACCAATTTTATATATTATGTAACATTTAATGTTCAAATATGTACAGTACTTTCCATTTACCTAAATAGGTACCAATTTATCCTATTTTACATATTTATCATAAAATACTTATCTATCGTTATATGATTATAAAATAATTACTGTATATTTTTAAAAACTTTTAATCACTTACCAAATATTAATATGAGAAAAATAATTAAACTATAAAATATAAGTTTTAAAGGTATCTTCATATTCATGTTTGCCATTATATCCATATTTTGGTTGGTTATTGTGATTGTTTAAATTATCATAATATTGAAACTTTTTAATAGTATATGTATGAACAATAAAAACACTTATTTTATTAGTTATAATAATATATTATTTTCGCATTCATAATGCTTTTAAATGTTTTTTAGTTAGTTTTTTAGAAGATTAAATATTTACATTAAACTTGATATAATTTAATATTTACTTCACCAACAAAATAAAATAGTGAATAAATATTAGTTCAAATTAAATTTTAAGTTCAAATAATATTTATTTGTAAACAAAAACCAAAATAACTTAAAATTGAATAAATTGGTTTAAATTGTTTTTTACCAATTTCTGAATACATTGCATATAATTAAAATATTTTTAACTATGAATTAATTTATAAATTTTCATAGATTTTCATCACAAATTTATTAGCAAATGTTAACACAACTGATTGATTATTGTTTTATAAATAACACATGTATTTACATAAACAACTGCTGTGTCTGTACTTTAAAGTCGAGGAAAAAAGTTTTGTCTAAAAAAAATGAAACCAAATGCGTGTGCAATGAATGGATGAGCAAATGCAAGACCAGTGAAGGAAACCCTAACCGACAGCTCACACACCGACACAACGTTGCTATGAATACTGCTATCTCTATACTAACACTGAAGCAAATGTTAGGCCAACTTTTATGAGACGGCGTAACCCACAACACAATACTGTTTAACTGAATCATAAGGTATGCTTTATATTGTATTGATCGTCAAAAAAAAGTTTTTAGTCTCTCATCTAACTATTTATCATTGAATGCCTGTAAACACTTTGTTAAATATATTCGTAATAATGGGCAGTAAATTGTTTGCAAATTTGCTGCCATTTGGTGTACATAACTATAAATACATTATGAGATGATAAATGTTGTCCACTTTGCTGTCATTGTGTGTAACGGCAGTTATAATTTTACGGTTAACGAGTACTGAATTTCAACCATTGCTGTAAACTTATATAAAACAGATATCGTTTTAAAACCTGGTATTTCTACACCTGGCCCTTGATTTTGCAGGTGCACCTGTTACCAGTGCTAACTGTATATCTCTATGGATAAGTCTAACTTTTGTCATTGCAAATACCAATATGTTTGATTTTGTCTACAGTTAGTTTTTGRATACATGTGAGTAATAGATAGATAGACGAAAGAGAGAGAGAGAGAGAGAGAGAGAGAGAGAGAGAGAGAGAGAGAGAGAGAGAGAGATCTGTGTATTGGATATCTATTTGGATGCGCTTATTGTGAATAATATGAGTGAGTGATAGAAAGCAATAATACTTTTTTGTTTTGTTTTACTCTTTGAATATCAATTGGGTCTTCAATTTCTCACATAAAGTGAGGCCAGGATTACAACGGAAAGCATTGCGAGCAAACATTTCTCCCTTTTTTTAAAAAGAGATACTCAAATAGTATACCCAACTCTATCATACAGTATAGTTTGCAAGAATTTTTAAGTAACTCAATGATAGCGAGAAAAAATATTTTAAGCCGCTTTTCATACAAAATTTTTCAAATATATGTGTATATATTATAATAAGTAGGTATATATTGTGAGTATATACCGTATATATAATAATAATATATATACTGTTTTGTCTACTTTTGCATTTGAAGCTCATTTCAAATTTAAAGTAAATACTTTAGAAAAAGAGGGAAAAAAGCAAAAGTGTAATACACCTGAAGTTTGAATAAAAATTGAGTCAACCGTAACGTTGTATATATTTTATGATTAACGTTATATTTATTTTCATATATTACAGATAACAGAGGGGAGGTTTAGATTAAAAAATTGTTGTCATTTTCATATAGACTCCAAATTGAGTCCATTGTTTATTTCATTTTTTGCCATCAAAGTGTCACTTATTGCTAATAATAAATGTATTTTTACAAAATCTATTTAAGGCAAAAAAATAGTCACTTAAATCATCACAAAACACATGTAATCATCAAACATGTAAAAAGTAGATGAAAAACACTAACGAAGTATTTCATATGTTTTTTGATGATTTTGCTTAAATATCAGACACACAGTGAACCAGTTATTTATTGTCATAGCGCTAGTTGTCTATTAAAACTTTACTATATTTTATATAAATACCGGTATATACGGTACTGTACTGTATATAAAGTAAACATAATGTACACACAATTCAGGACAAAATTCATGAAAAGGCTGACAAATTTTATTAACATTAAAAAGCATATCCTCTTAATGAATGTGTACTGAATCCTAATAATGTTATGCCATATATTCTAACTATTTATGTTAACAATAAGATTGACTGATAATAACTTTATTATATTAAATTACTATAAATAGTAAATTGTTTAATATATCAATCAAAATGACCTGATATTTATTATGTTGTAATATAAATGAAAGAATTTTCAATTTAATTAATTAACAGTACAGTAGTTTTCAGTAAACTTTTTTATGAATATAATATGATATACATTATATCAAATTATAGCTATTTATTATACAATATAAATGAATAGAACTTGTATTGAAATAATAATAAAAGTATATAAAATAAATGATAAAAATTTACATATTAAAATAGCTATATTATTCGTAAAAAATTAATTTTATAAAAAACAACATAAAATACAATTTGCTTATTGACATCATTGTATTTATTTACCATAAATATAAATCATAAAACAATATAGCTTTATAATTACACAATTAATAATATAATATAAATAAATTTATCATATTATTTGCAGTATTGGGAAAATTATGTATTATTAAAAATTGAATGAGAATTTCTAATGAAATTCTTGTGAAATATTTTTTTTTAAATGAAATCCGATTTTTGTCTTCGGCCTCAATTGCGGACAAATTATTTGATATAAATATATGTAACAAATTGTGTGAGTAATAAAAGTTTTTCATTTATAATGAGTGATTGTGAATAATTAAATCTAAATTAACTTATATTTTTTACTTATTTAAAATAACTTAATTAAAAATACTTATTAGTAAGTTATGCAATTATTAAATATATTTCTGTTTTTTATAATATTTTTATTATTTATTTAACAATAAAAACCAGTTGAGAATGCTAGAAAGCATTACCAGAAACAAACTTTAATTGCATAAATTACTCCGAATGACTAAAAGTGTATAAATAARTGAATGAATATGATTTTTCTCACCAATTCATTAATAATAACGACTAATTTTAATACAATTTTAATATATTTTATATTTCATTACTGATAACCATTAGGCAATTAGCCATTTTTTACTATATGTTTATAACCAAATAAACAAAAAAAAATGAAACAATATTATTCTACATTTTAATGCTTTATATAAATTAAAAGTAAAAAATAAAATATTTTTTATTTTAGCCACCATTTTGTTTGTTTCTAAAGAGATATGTCATTTTAATGCTAATTCCCTATACTTTACTATTTTTGATGTTTTAACCGAATCTGAAGCCAGAATTTTAAAATTCACAAAACTTGTAAAACACACATAGATTTCATAAAACAAACTTTTGAAAGTTTCTTTGAATATATTGATCTTAAATTTTATATTTTAATAAGTATCAAATTAGTTTTAATTAAATTATTGAATAAAAAATATATAACAATTAATAGTTAAAAATAATAATTGACTAAATTATTTTCATATTTAATTAAATGTTTTTGTAAATAGATAACTGATAATAATAATATACTGTATATTTTTWAAAAATAAAAAATTCAATTGTATGATTCAATTAGGTCAAATGTTCTCTATATATTAATATGATGTAATATATTAAATATTTTAGTAATAATTAATAAAAGATATAACTTATTAAAAATACTGTATAATGTAATTTTAAATTATTTTTACAATAAATATTWGTTTTTAGAATTATTATAGAAAATTATAGTTAATATATTACTTAATTTTAAAAAGTTTTTCTTGAAAAATTTTAATAAAAAAGTTTCACATAAATGTTTGAAATATTTATTTTAATAAAACTATTTGTTATACWTTAATTGTATGTCAAATAAAAATTTACAGTAAATTAATATACTGTAGTTGTTTAGTCTATTGTATTCAAAACTATTTCTCAAATTAAAATGTTTCACAAATCCAAATGTCATTTGAGTATAAAAATTTTTATTTGCATTATTTAGTGTTTATGTTATTAATGACTGACATATTCTGAACATTATTTTTGATAATTGCATTAATTATTTTTGGGATTTTAAATCACAATATAAAGCCTCATAATTCTGTAATTGTATTTTTAGAGTAAATGATTTATAATAATTACAAACAAAACATTTTTAAACAATGTTATGCWTATTTACAATATAACAAAATCTCATTTATTTATTTTTAAAAATTACATAATTTTAATGTTTAGAGATTATAAACAAAAAATCTATTTTAATTTTATTATTATTCAAATAAATTTTTATGTTTTCAATATTATTAACACAGTAATGTCAGAATTGATTAATAATTACTAATATTTATGTTAGTTTGTTGTAGACATCATTCAAATTTTAATGTACAMATAATTATTAATTTATTCAATAGTTTTCTTAAAATAATGGATTAACAACTAATGTATAGATTTTTGTATATACATATGTACTGTATATATGATATACATTGGATATACAATTGTGTCAAACTAGTGTATTAATACTGTAATATAAAAAATATATAAATTTAATAGWATAGTTTAAAATCAATTTATGTGAAAAATAGTTATCATTAAAAACTAAAGACAATAAATTTTTGAGATTATCTCCATTAATAAGATGATATCGCAGACTCACTGTCTGAACATTTATTTTATTAAATGACTGTTTTTTAATGTAAACTATGTTTTGCATAAATATTTTGTTACAAAAATCATTATACAAAACATCGCAGCAAAACATTATCTCTCCCTTCAAAATATGTAAGCTTTTGATTGTCTCTCCCYTTCATTTGGTATCTGCTTATCACTCAATTACTTACCATAATATTAGCAACTTTTGTGTATCACTTTTACTCAAACCAAACATATAATGTCATTAAATGTAAATAAACTCTAATATACAAGGATTTGATGAAAAAATAGTTTATTTTCTATAATAAAATTAGAGAGACAGGTGTCGACATACTGGAGCGCATTAACAGTTTTATGACAACACAATACAAACTATAAAAAAATTATACTTATATTTGGAAAATGTGAATCTCAAAAAATAACATTACAGTAAACCGGTTTCATACTTTTCATTATTAAATTATTTAAAGTGTAATACAATATCATTAAATAATAATAAAAAATAAAATAAAAAGGATTTCAAGTATTTTACATTTTTTGTATTATTAATGTGAAAATATAAGCAACTCCTGTATCACAAAATAGTTGCCATTTTTTGGTTTTGCTAATTATAATACAAAACTAGATTATTAATATTATTTTTTACCAAAAATCTTTTTTTCAATTAAATTATTCAAAATTATTAATTAAATTTTTTGTTCATTAATTTATTTATAAATAATATAATTTAAATAGATATTTTTATTAATAATATATTTAATATTGATTATATAATAACTTATTTTGCTTAAATAAATAATGTATTATTAATTAAAAATATAAATTTTAATTAAAATTAATTTAAAGATTAGTCATTATGAAACTTTGTGTTTATTTTAGTTTCTAATGATTTTATATTTT